TGTTCTCTGTATAGTAGAAATTAAATACTGTTCTCATTGTTCGAATTACGATGTCTCTGGAATGTATTTTCTTGCGGTATACTAGAGTAGTGTTTTGCGGTAATTTGCTGAATCGCAGGCACCGGGGCATGCGTTGTTTAATAACAAGTGGTGCGTGTTGGTGAATATCGTGTGGTGGCAGTAGAAAATGATAGTACAGGCCGGCCAGAAGTCAAACCAACATGAACACAAAAAAAAAAAGGAGAAAAATAAAAGAGACGGAGACGCTTGTCTGTTACACATCGTGCTTACTACTACGTGAAACAAAAGAAAACCAAAAAAAAAAGAAGAAGAATAATAATAAAATAAGACAAATGAATAGGACAGAAGAAGAGGAGAAAAGAGATCTAGATCGCTAATCGTCTTGTATGTATAGGACAACATTGTTATACAGAGATTCATGTGAGTGTGTAACTTGAATGTGTAACAGTAACAAGAGATACGTGAAAAACAGCAAATTGCATTCTGTACTACTGTTGCATACGTACTACGAGAAAATGTCATTGTACAAACGGATAATGTAATACGTTAAATGTCCAGAAACCATGAAATATCCACGTCAATTCTCACACACGTTGGAATTTATAAGAAAAATATTTTTCAATATTCAGAAAAAAATTTCAATAATTCTACAAGAAATGAAACTTGGTTATTTCATAGTTTCTTCTTTTTTTTTTTTATTTTAAATACATGACACGAAGAAAACAAATTCGAAATGAACCGTTAAAAACAAGCAAATGACGAAACACGTTAACAACGTACTACCAAGTGCATGAAATACACGAATCGAAGCGGAAATCAAATCTTACTTACATCGAAATTGCGATTAGCAGCGCGAAGCTCTAAACGAGAAGCGTACGGTGCTGGATGGTTCTTTTTTTTTTTTTTTTGGTGACGGAACGGAGTAGTATGACTTAATTAGGCGATTAAATAATGGAGAGAAAGAGAAAAAAAAAATGAAATAAAGGAGCTACTGTATATACTATATACGTGAAAGGGGATTACGGCGCGTGGAAAGCATAGCGGCTTAAGCAGAACAATTTTACTGCTATTATTCGATCAAGTAAAGCTTCATGCATCTGAAAGAATAATAAAATACAATCATTACGTAGAGACCGTATCGTATGATCGATGACGCACATACTTTGTGTTTTTTAAAATTTTTTAAAATTTTTGCAACGACTGTCTCTATCATATAGTGTGTATATATGGTATGGTGCCGATTAGTCAGCGAAAGTGAGCTTTTTTTAAAACACGAGATGATTCTTCGTTAAACGATTAAGATGATCTTCAAGCTTTACAGTGGAATGATGTATGAAGAAGAATTTGGTATCCGTTCAGAATTACCACACTCTGTCAAACTTAATATTCAATTTCCACGTAGAATGTACTTTTAAAAAAAAAAAACTCCTAAAATCTTCTTCCTTCGAACACGTGGAATGTAATCGTCGAATAAAAAAGTATGAAAAAAATGAACGTAACAGATAGAAAATCGAGAGAATTCAATTTACATGGAATGTTTCGAATGGAAACTGTAAAATTAAGAAATTGAAAAATTCGGAAGACTGGAAATGTCGATGTGGTGTCGACTGTCCGGACACTGAAATCTTTAGCGTCGAAGAAATGAGAAGAAAGATTATTAATGGTGCCCTCCATTCGTTAATCGAATGGCGAATCATACGAATGTATATCCCATGCACTGAAACTCGTTGCTTCAAACCTTTAATGTCTCGAATATCCTGCGTGCGGACGGCTTTTCTTTCGTCCCTCCTCTCTGCAATTAGAAAAAAGAACAAAAACCCATGGTTTCTCTTCATAGGAGCGTAGGGAGAGAAAAGGAACTCAGAGCGATTGTGCAAAAGAGGCAAAAAAACACACAGGAGTATTATGGCACATTGTAAAAAACGTTACTTTTATTCGATCTTTCCAAAATGTACAATACATAACGTTACAAAAAAAACGTGTGTCGAAGAAAAGGCGTTCGTTTTTTCTTCGTTTGGTTAGGTATATATACAGAGAGAGAAAAAGAAGAAAATAAGAAAAAAAAAGAAAAGGAGGACAAACGCATGCTTATTCGAGCTTATATCTATGAGCCGCGAAGTATTTACAACAACAAAAAATGAGAAACGAGAGAGAAAAAAAAAGGAAATGTACAAGTTATGTGTATAGGCAGCCACGCAAGCACACACCAAAAAAAAAAAAGAAAAAAAAAATGTAGAGATGTTGAAATGTTCGGAAGAAAGAACAAAAATTGATCAGCAATGATTTCGTGACGTCGCATTGTCCGTGGTATACAAACGCTTTCGTCTGTTCTCGTATTTCAAACCTCACATCACATCGTCATTCTTCACTTACCCATGAAATGGACCTCCGTTTTATGGACGACATCCACCCGTTCCGTAATCCGTTCCTCCGTCTCAACCTGCGGTTAATTACTCTTAGTATACTCCTAATTAAGGTCTCCTAATCGATAACACCTAAACTATCGTCTATTTTCACAATAATTTAACCCAAATCTAAGGATAAAAATCCATCGAAAATAACATCGAAGAACTGGAACGAAGAACTCGAGTAAACAAATTTACGAAGAAAGTGTCTGACTTCTTCGAGTAATTTGTATTGTATTTTATTAAGAAAGAAAAAACGAATTCTTACTTCCGTGGCTTCTGTAACCTCCCAAGCACGCGGCCGGAAGTCCTCCGGAGCGAAGTGAGTGAGCACTTCTTCCACGGTGACGTGTTGCAGCTCGATCATTCTCATGAAGGCGCGGAAGCCAACGGTGGCAGCCACGACGCTTTCGTCGGTGGTCGTTTCTTCAGTGAGAACTTGCGTGATCAACGGTCCATGTCCTTCTCTTTCCACCAGTTGAACCAGCGCGTTTTGAGCCTCGGGTGTTCTCAACGCAGGGAAATTGTCCGTTCTGTACAGACTCTCGTTGATCTCGTTCACGGAGACACCTTGGCGTACCAGGAAGCCGATCGTAGCCAATTCTCGAAGAGGAGCCTCTCCGGGACCGAATTCTTTGGCATGCAGCATTTCCATGATTTCTTCCACCTCTCTCGCGATATTCTCTCGTTGTCTCTCGACAATCTCCTCAATGGTAACCTCTTCTCTGACTTTCGTCTTGTCCTTCTTCTTCTTCTTCGGCTTCTCTTCCGTGATCACTTCTCTTGGTCTCTCCTCGAATATCTCTTCTTCGGTTACTATCGACTTCCTCGCCTTTCTCTGTTTCGTTTTGATCTCTTGGACACTGGCTTCCGTGTGTACTTCCGACACGGAGACGGTTTGCAGGGTCTCCGACGTGATTTGAGCATGATCGACCACCGAATCCACCGTGAAGTCTCGAGCCACGTCTTCGGTGGTTACTTCAGACACCACGACAACTCCTTCACGTTCCTCCACCACTCGTTTTGCACGCTCTTCAGGCTTCGGTACCATTTCGTGGGGCTTCTGATCGTCGATCTTCTTCAGCAACGCGATTGCTTCCGTCTGGACTGGTTCTTGGACTGGTACCACTTTCTTTGCTCGTGATACCTGTGTTGAGAGGGGAAATTTAGGTTTATCGGATGATTAGGAAGAGAGACGAAATTGAATATTCCTATTCTAATTAAAATTATATTGATTAAATTTCTTTTTATGTCTTCTTTGGTTATTGTATTTAATATTTGCATTTACCTCAGTTGGCTGCTCTTCAATAACTTCCGCCGTTTCGAGCACCTGAGTTTCCTCAATGTCCGCGATTTTCCTTCGAATTATATCAAAGTTAAGAATACTTCTTCACCTAGAAACTTGCTTTTATAACAATTCTACTAACTTTTCCTCTGACTGTTCCTTAGGAACCAGCTTCTCTTTGCGAACTTCCTTCTTGTCTACCTTCACACGTTCAGTTTTCACCTTCTCCTTCGTCTCCTTCGCTTTCTTCAGCTCAGGCTTCTTCTTCTTGTGTGGCTTCTCTTCTTCTTTCTTCTTAGGTTTCACTTCGATCGTCTGTTGTTCTTCGACGATTTCCTCTTCGTCTATGAATCCTCTCTCACCAGTTTCTGCAAGAAAATATTTCAACGGTATTCAACGTTATTCTTTCTGTTTAAATGTGAACGATACAGTTTGTTGGAATTTAACGAGGTATACCTGATACGTGAAGTTTGGCTCTGGTCGTTGCCAAGCCTATATCGCTGGTGGCTTTGCACACATAAGTGGCGTCGTCTTCCACAGTCGCCTGTTTAATTAACAGCGATGTCTTCTTCACCTCCTCCATGATACGTACCTTCACGTTCGAGGTGTTCATGATCAGCTTGTCGTTCTTGTACCATACAACGTCTGAAAATTATGGGAAAAGTGTGATAATTTTCCATTTACAAATTAATTGTGATAATTTCGGAGGATAGGGAAAACTTGGAATTTTATCATTATTACTGCCATTCGGATAAAATTGTGTAAAAATTTAAAATCTAATTTAAATTTTGTTATCGTCGTTAGGGCTCACTTTGTGCAACTTTATGCAATCTGTTACAAAAATCAGTTGGAAAATTTGTTGGCATAAATTAGCCCCGACTAATAGAATCAAATTGTGCCAAGAATTTTCCACATCTGTGGTTTATTAACTATAAATAATACAAATTATTTATACTGTGCTATGAGTATAGTTTAAAAAGCAAAAATTCGAATTTATTTTAAAATTTACAGAAAAATATCCAAAAAGTGTAAAATCTTCTTTTACATTTACACCTCTTGAATATTACATCAAAGAATTTTTTATTTATCTAACGAATGGTCTACTTTGTAACTTAAGATAAAATTAAAATTTGACCAACGTCGGATTAGCTGATTTTTAAACAACGTAGAATTAGAAAATTTGCTATACCTGGAGCAGGATTGCCGGAGTAACTGCACTCGAACACCACAGTTTCACCTTCCCTCGCGTAAACGTCGGTAATCTCTTGAATGAATCGTGGTACAGATTGCGTGGCTGTAAATAAAACGTAGCTAATAAAACAACCATAAAAAATCCCGCGAAAACATGAAATCTCCCACAGATCATTTACCTGATCTCTTGATTGGTGATTGTGCGACTCGCGTGACTCCGATGTCAGTAATCTGATTAGCCAAACAGAAAAACAGACGGAACACACGTACAAAAAAACGTTCATGCAAAAACCACAATCTTATAAGAAACACAAAAATCACAGAAAAAAGAGCAATTTTTTAAATTGTTAGTTTAAATTCGACAATAATACCTGACATGGTGCCTCTCTCATCTTCGCTATGGTGCTCGCTACACGATACCTCGGAAGTCGACATGTTTCCAGCTAAACCAAGGTTTCCACTGCACTGACTTTCCAACAATAAAAATTCCTGCAATTCCTCTTGACTGTCTGCCGTGTGCAACTGTTGAAAAGCTTCCAGATCGATTTCCCTCGGTTCCAAGGGGTACATCTTTGGATCCATCATCAAATGACCAAATCGACGCTCCTTCGACCATCTTGCCACTGGAATCCTGGATTTTGGATAAGTGTGATATTTCCTCGCGTGATCGTACTCCAACGTACTTTCCATCATTTTTCCACCTCCGTAGTGCTCGTGAATCGTTTTACTGTGTCCACTTCCGGTCGAAGCTTCACTGTTCTCTTCGATAGGTGACAAATAAAATCCAGGTTCCGCGACGTTCGATAGATCAGAGTGAACGTTGCTTTTCTTCTCCGATCTCGGAGGTGGAAATTCGTTGAAGTCCAACACAATCTTCTTTCTTCTTTCATTTCTCAGTATTTCCATCGTGGATTCGTTACTTTCTGCTAAAAGTACGTCGACATTTTCCTTCGTCTTACTTGTTACACCGCTACGACTAATCCCTTCTTTTGATTTCACGCTTTTGATTGATCTCGCTGTAGCTAATTTATCAGTGGACCTAGTTTGCTTCGATCTATCCGATCTAGTAGGCGAAGGGGAATTTGATTTACACGTAATCTTCGTTTGTCTCTCGCTTGAGGTAGATTCGTTCATCTTGGAACACTTTGTTCGAACAGGAGACGGAGATCTAGTCTTCACGTTTATTATACTAGTTATTCTTATCGGCGAAGTCGATTTCTCCACCATTGGATTCTTCGATAATTTCACCTTTTGTGTGCTAGCTGACCTAGTTGTGTTACTTCCAACTTCTCGTCGTGTTTTCACAGAAGTAGTCGTCGAAACTGTCTTCGTTTCCGTATTCTTCTTCGCGACAGTTTTCTCTTCCAAACTCTCCAACTTCTTTCTCCTCGTTATTTTACCTACCTTCTCGGACTTTGTCCTTTTATCCACGTTTTTCTGCTCATTTTTCACCACACATTTACCATCTTCGATCTCAGAAATACTTTCCACGTTTTCTTCGGAAGTACGTTGCTTCCAATCCGAAGTTCTTTCTTTGCTCGATGCGTTCATCTCCCAAGAGTATTCCGTGGTGGTGATTTCCTGTTCGACTTCCAGGGAATCTGAGTATCTTCTGGACAAGAAGAATCCTTTCGGTGTGGTTTCCTCTTCCTCGAAGCATCTCTTACCTTCGTCGTCGATGTTCATCAACGTTCTCGTCGACGAGAACTCGCTGATCATCGTCGAACTGTCTCTCTGTGAGCTTTCGTCTCTAATCGCGCGATCGTCCAGACTATCCGTTGAAAAGCTGCACTCCGCTTCACTCAGCATGCAATCGATCGCCTCTGATCGACGACGCTTACCTTTCAGAGCCTCTTGCATCTCCTCCATATGGATCACCCACGACGGTTTCCTGTACTCCTCCGTTCCGACGATTCCTAATCGACAAACGATAATTAGTGATCCGTTGCGAACTTCGACCCTTTCAGTCCCATCTTTCGGAAGCGACGCGATATTTTTCTCGCAAGCTTTTCGATTTGGATTAAAGCGCTCTTTTTTTATTCTTGACTTTCGAACGATCGCGTGAAATTTTTTGGAAATTTTGCGATCTTTCTGGCGAGAATTGCAATTGGAGAATTACTGATCTCTGATCAGAGAATTCTAATTAATCTGCCGAAATTCTAGCGTTTGGAAATTTTTTAAAATCGATGTTAACTACAGTTCTTTGGAATTTCAGAGTTTCAAAGTTGTACTGAAATATTTTCGAAAGTAAATACTTCAATTTTCTAAAATTTTAGAATTCAAAAAATTCGCTGTGGAACTTTTCAAAAGTAAGTACTATCTTCTTCAAAATTTCAAAATTTTTTAAGATATTTATTAGATTTGACTTTGAAATATTTTTCTGTTAATTTGCAATTGATTTAACGCGTTCGTTCGATAGTCAACAGATGGAACTGAAAGGGCCCGAATTAGCTAGCGAAACGTCGAAGAAAAGAATATAAAAAAAGTGTAGGTGATGGGATGTGAGTGTTCAGTGTGAGTACTGATATAATATATGAAGGGGATTTTGGGACAGCATTTGGGGATTCTCGTTGATGATTCCGATCGAAGAAGAGCGTAGCTGAAAAGAACTGGTACCAAGCAGATTAGCGAAGCTTTCACAGCTGTTTGATAGTGTATCTTCGTTCAAGATGAACGAATTATTACCTTCTACTGATAGGTACGTCATCGTGGTCGATACGCCGAGCGGATTGTGCGCTTCGAACACAATCTCACCCGTGTCGTCCGGATAAGTTTCGGCGATCGTTAACACCGACGTGCCATCCTCGAAATCTTCGATCTGGAATTCTTCGGATGGCACGATCTCTACACCCTGTTTGTACCATTTTCCTTCTGGCTTCGGTTTTCCTTTGACCTTCACTTCCAGTCTGTATAAAACAGAAAACAGTACGACTTATAATTAAATTTTTATTTATTGTGCAAATATTAAAAAATAATTTTTGAGTATAATTTGACGAATATTTTATGACACTTGTTTATTATGAATATTAATACTGAAACGTTTACGATACCTGGTTAATTCTCCATCTTTGCTAGGAATTAACTGAGGAAGTTTCTTGATTATCTCCGGAGCAGATTCCTCTGTGTCCGTGTCGAACAGTGGGGTTTCCTGGGAAAAGGTCAAAATTACAAATAACCATACCAAATTCCATAAAAATTAACACCTCAATTTTATATGTTTCTCTAGACACCTTGGGAGATAAGAGATCTTCTTCCGAACCACTCTGCCCTGTAGTAAGAGACGTCGCAACGAGCGAGGATGCAATCTCCGAATCTGGTACGTATTCGTATGCTAAAAATAAGATAACCTGGTTATAAAACCAAAAATATTTCGTCCACGTCTATTCCATAATACATACTTTCCCCAAATTCAAACGTTCCAATTGATTCACTATCATACCAAAATTCACAACAATACCAATTTTGTAAACAATAAAATTCAAATTACTACCTTCAACGATAAGCGACGAAGTGCAAACAGCCTCGCCGACAGGATTCACGGCACGACAAGTGTATTCTCCAGCATCTTCGGGGAACACCTCTGTTATGGCCAAACTGCAAACACCTTCTGTGTCTTGCATAATAGTGATCTCTTTTCCCTCTTTGATCGGTTTCTTGTCGTGGTACCATTCAACTCTAGGCGTGGGCTTCCCTTGCACGATACACGTCAGATTCGCGCTTTCACCGTCCATGACCCTGACCGGCGACAGTCGTTTGACAAACGTCGGCGAAACAAGCTCGACCGTTTCTTCCCACGGTGTCTCGAGCAAATTGATCGTCGCCGTACAGGTGACCGATCCGCCAACGTTTTCGGCGCGACAGGTGTACGTGCCCGCGTACTCGGACTTGATCTCCTTGATCATGAGGATCGATCTGTTCTCTTGCGTCACGATCCTCACTTGTGGCGTTGACTGTAATGCAAATGCGAAAATTACGTTCTCCATTTTTTCTTCTTCTTCTCTGGATAAGTTAGAATTCTGAAAAGGTGCTTCGATAATTTGAAGGAAAAAGCAAAAAGAACGAGCAAAGATGCAATGTATTTTTCGTAGTTAACGTTAAAAGTTAGAAATAAGAATGTATCTGTGCTTAGCATCGATAGTGTCGTAACGCGAGAAATGTAAATTTTACAGGAAAAACAGTTTGAAATTTGCATTCGACTAATATTTGAACACCGATCATGTAATCTTATCTGCGTTCTGGTGTGAAATTAACGAAGCTAGAAGTATGCCATTTTCCACGATAAAAATACTTCACCTGTGTGTAATTTATTTCTTATTTATTAAGAAAAGGAATCGATATTATAAATAAGTGTAAGAGTAGAAAGCTGAAGTACCTCTAGAGGACGAGTTTCGTGGAACCACTGGAAGGAGGCTGTCGGATAGGATTCAACCCGCGTTTCCATGATCACGACCTCTCCCTCGGCGACGATCTGTGGTTGCAGCGGCTCGACAAACCTCGGAGCTTTCACTTCGTCCGTCTTGTCCTCGCGTTCTTTCACCGTAACAGAGCCCGAACTTCTCGCCTCGCCGGCGGGATTTTGAACTCGAACTTCGTATTTCCCGCCATCTTTCTTCGTTACCTCGGGAATGTACAATTCAGCCGTACTCTCGTATATGTTTATCACACGTTCGTCAGAAGGCACGATCTCTGCTCCGTTACGGAACCATTTCACTTCTGGTTTAGGTTTGCTCTCAAAGTCGGCTGACAACGTCAGAGGCTTTCCACGTTCGGCTACCAATGCTGGTAGAGGTCTGGTGATCTTCGGTGCTCTCAGAACTTCCGGTTTGCTCACCTTCACTATACTACTGATCACCAGATTCGCTCTGCATTCGGCTCGACCGAATTTGTTAACAGCTCGAACGCGATAGATGGTCTCGTCCTCTTCCGTTGGCTCCAGTATGTGCAATTTAGCTTCTCCGGTTTCCGGATTGAAGGTGATCTCTCTACCCTTCTCAGGCTTCAACTCTTCCTCCCTGCGGTACCATTTCACTTCCGGCATAGGTGTGCCAGTGACGACGCACTCCAACAGAGCTGGTTTGTGCTCCTCGACCATCAGAGGCTTGATGGGTGTCGCGAAGTGCGGCGCCACACCTTCCTCTTCTTTTTCTGCGGGGAGAAACGTTCTGTTAAATTTATGATAATGATATGACGGAACACGGTCACGCGACAACAGTGAAACTCCATGCAAAGTGATTCCTTACACTGTAGTCCTGCACTACCGTTAACGTAGGACTCTGTTTTTTCGCGTTTATCGAAGCATTCATAGGAAGCTGTAAAAAATTGCGGTTTAATGTGAATTAGTTTAGACACTCCAAACAACACTTAGTTTTCAGATTAGTAATTGTTTTTGCAAGTTTTGCAAAAAATGCTTTCAATTTTTACTCGTAAAAAGTCTGGATAACTTTTTGTGGTAAAAGTGCGTACAAATAGCAGAAATGGACGTATCACAAAAGCAGACGTCAAGCGTTTTCTCGGTTCGTATATCGTAAATCATCAAGCAAAAGACAAAGACAATCACACAGACGTCACGACGCATAGTTCCAGTACCGAATATCACAAGATTCACGGTGGAAGTAGCCACTCCAGCTGGATTCGACGCCCTGCAAGAATACATGCCGGCATCTTCTTCCTTCACTTTGGTTATCTCCAACGTGGCGGTGGTCTCGTAGATGGTCATTATGTATTTTTCACTTGCGTGAAGTTCCTGCTCGTTTCGATACCAGGAGATTTCGGGGAATGGATTGCCAAATACCGTGCAGGTGAATTTCGCGGTTGTTTCCGGTTCCGCGATAACCGGTTGAAGTTTCTGAATGAACCTCGGAGCGATTTTCTTATCTTTGTCTATGATGGATATATCGACTTCAGTACGTTGTTTCCGTTTCCTCTTACGATCCTCGACTTGGACTTCTTCTTCGATTTTCCTCTCTACCTCGACTATTTCCTTCTTTTCTACTTTCGTTGCTTGCGCAGTGACTTGAATGTCTTGAGTAGAGACAACAGTTTCATCGATGACTTCTTCTTTCTGT